AAGACAGAAATTGCCAGCATACTTGTGTCTGCCATTTTAACATCTGAAACAAAAAGTACAGTTGAATAGTATTTATAACGATGGTTGCAATAATATAGTGCCATCATAGATCTGCTTCAGCTATGTATATGAAATAAACTTTATAGTAAAAGATCTATTTAAAAAAATGAAAATACTTTTGATACACCATAATACAGCAATGTACTCCTTTTAATAGACTTTCAAAACCTGGGCTACCATACAAGAAATCAATTTCTTGAATTTAACACTGATTTTCATTTATTTCTATAATTTTTAAATTGGTTTTCACAAAATGACTGCATACATAAAAATTCTAATTTATGATCTGATGCATAAAAAGATTTATCAAATTAACTTGATGCCTATTGCTAATCCAAAAATTTTAAAGATACAGATAAAATTTTTGAAAAAAGACTCTGAAGTTAGCTGTTAATAACCTTCATGATAGATTTTGGTGAAATAGAATTGATCATTTTTTTTCTTGTGTTACAACTTGGAGCTATTTAAAATTGAAAATGCCAAATTTCATATTGGCAAAAAAGATTATCCTGTGAACTGATGAAATGCCATTGTAGCCATATTCTTATCAGATAGCCAAAAGTTTATTTGGTTTATGAAGTAAAAATAATAAATATAAACTAGTTTCTTGAGAGAGAAATTAGTCTATTTTTATTTTAACTGTAAGAATCTTTTTTTTTTTCATTTGAGTCACATTTTTACCTTTCTTAAAATAAAAATGAAGCATATTGCCAAAAATCTTGCTTACTTTTTTTTTCCATCTTCAGTAGTAGAATCAATAAACAAGAATATGCTAATTTTAACAAAAGTTTTAAAAAAGTCATGCTTATAACAACTCTTACAATACAATTAAAATCTATCTTTTGGAAGTTAATTAAAACTAAAATTTATAGTAAATTTTTAACACCAATCCTAGAATGAACTTTTAACCAACCTGATAATATGAAATATAGCATGTAATATAATACTTAAAATTGAAAGTGTAGCATTAATACTATCTAAATTGTCAGAAAATGACTTGGTGAGCTGGGCAAGATGTCAATACAATTCTATGATTGGTTATAACATTAATTCTTGTGTTAAGTGTCAGCACTAATCTTGAACTTGTTAAGTTTGGAGTATTTTTGTAATTTATTAAATGAATGTTTTCATGTGACAAGTTGCTGAGTCTGGTTTGATACTATCATGGTCGATAGTTGGCACATAATGATGCTGTTGAGGCTTTTACTTTTCGGTGTGAATAAAAGGATGGAAATGATTTATTAGGAGGAACTATTAACATATACAATGAAATAATCTTAACCATTGTTTTTATTGGCTATAATGAATAATAAAAGGTCATATTGATTGAAAAGAAAAAGAAAACAGATCATACCTAGAGGTTAAATAGTCTTATCTAGTTTAAGGTATTGTCTTGGCTGCCAAACGTCTATTTCTTTGGAACATGATTAATATAGGAAGTAAATGATCAAATAAGAAATGAAAGAAAAACAGCTTACAGATAAGAATGAGACAGCTGCAGAATGGACATTATTTTGGCAATATTAAAAAGTAAAATATGACAATCTAGAAAAGAACAGATTTTATTTCACAAAATATTTATTTTAAATATGTTACACCTTTATAAGTCTGCTATTCATTCATGCATTGAATATTACTGCCACATCTGGACTGGTGCTTCTGCTATGTATTTACAGATTCTTGATAGAATCCAAAGTATCTGTAATGTTATTAGTTCTGATCTGGCATCTCAGCTTCAGTCACTTTTCCACTGCTGTAACATAGCTTCCTTCTGCTTTTTCTGTAAATACTCTCATGGTAATTTTTCTGAGCTTTCCTCTTTGATACCTCAACTTTATGAATTTAAGTGCAGTACTAGATTAGCAGCTAGATGTTATCATTTTGCAATTGAAATTGCTAGATGTAACCATAAGTTCTATGCTAATAATTTCATCTCTCACATTTCTAACTTCTGGAACTCTCTTCAGGCTTCTTGCGTTCAGTCAACTTTGATTTTCAAAAATTTAAATGCAATGTCAATTGTTATCTTCCATGTTAATTCTTATCTTATTATCCTCTCTCCTTAATGTTTTTTTGTTTGTTGTTTTTTTTTTTAATTCTTTCACACTTGGTAACCACTTGTGTCTAAATGGCTTTATTGCCTTACTTGGGGTGAAATGATTTAAAAAAATATTATTACAAATTTCCATATTTGAAAATTTAAGAGATTTTATAAGTTTAAACTTCCCCACTCCAAAATGAGTTATAAACTTGAAAAAAGTTAATGAATGTAATGCTTGAATTGTAGTGATAAAAACTGTTATATACTGTACCTATGAACACTAATGAGTATGTCCCAATCCTCATAAATATGTTTAACACTATTGTAAGTGGGGGTAATGTGCTGTCTAAGTAGTCCCCCACTAGAAGTGGTTTACCTACTTCATGCTGCTGGTGAGTATTGTATTTTGTTGATTCTATAAAGATTACCATTTCATTTCCAACCTTTATTTTGGTTATTCCTCATTCAGTAACATTTTCTTGGTTACAACAAAAACAAAGATAGTGTTAACAAGTTTGACTCTCTTATGAAATTACACATCCTAGAATTTCAGACAATGAGAAAGACTGAAGAAAGCATAAGTGGAAATGTAATGACAAAAAATAATGATGAGGATGTTAATCTGAATAACTTCTTAATATTAATAACAATGATTCATCTTAGCATTTCACACAAGGAAGCCCATAGAAAACTTTGGTGAAAACATAACATATAAAACAAGGAAGAGGATACTAGTTGGCCATTATTTCTTAAGTTATTAACTGATTCCTTTCAGAATATCAGGCAGTAGAAAAGTTCAAAGAATGTATCAATGATGAAAAGAGACAAAGCGAAATGATAAACATAGTAACAATGAGATATTATTTTGAATAACACAGTTTTTAGGCATCTACAACTTCTTAGTTCTTAGGATTATATATATTTGGTATCCCATTTGATATCTCTATAGATGTGGGGCTGAAAGTTACCTGACTTATTTTCCTATATATGTCCTTATTTTCCTTATATGCTCTTCATTTTTTCTGGTTACATTTTAAGTGTGACCCCTTTTCCAAACAAGTCAATCTAATCTTTATCATCATTTTCATTTTTAATGACCTGAAAACGAAACTAGAATTATTCTGAGGATGATGTGAATAGGCATTGAAATATTAAAAAATCATGCACAATTTGTTTTAAAGGACATAATAACACTATTATTTCATTACTAGTTTTATTCCAGTTTATTATTGCTTTTTATTACTGTTTGTTCTAGTGGCCAAGAAATACTTTTTTGTGATTTTACAATAAAAAAATAACATGTTTTAATGGTGTTGGCTGTGTGGCTCTCATCGCTGGGAATAAATAAAGCCAGTCTGTATATTAGCAAACATTTTCTCTTTGCATCTAGTTATCTAAGAGGGGGATCCCTCTCTTTTCTTATTGGTTCTTCTTTATTGAAGCCATTCTATCACTCTATAACTTTTTACTAAAATGTACAGAAATAAAGAGCAAGTTTTAATTATAAAAATATTAAGAAATAAAGAACAAACTTTTAGTGAGACAAATTCTAATCTGTTTTTCTCAGAAAACATGAAAGCTGCTTTTCTGTCTGATCTATAAAAGCTAACAGTTTCAAACAATCAAATCTAATTGAAGCAATAGAACATCTTGTTCTAAGACAAGCTTTCTAGGAGAAAGGATGGGAGTTCAAGTCTTGCTGAAAGTTATTTCCAGTCTGCTGTTTACTAACAGACGTAGAATGACAGTAGTTTTGATAAAAAACAGCTAAAATTAAGATGGAAGAGATAAACCAAAAATTAATAAAAATTGATGTGTGTGTGTTTTCTCTTGAGGTAGGATACACTTGTATTTTATTCAAATAAATAACCAATTTAAAAAGAACAATTATTTGTATTTTAATAATTCAGAAAATGATGAGTTCTGCTTGTAGTAGTGAAATTTTTGGATAAAATGTTTTTTTATGAAATCAAATTTGAAAATTATTGATTTACAAAACAATTGATTTTTATGACTACATCAGTTGAATAACATTGGGGGAAAATGGCTTGAAACAATTATTTTTGATTGCCATCCATAGGAAACAACAAGCTTTTAATTTGAATTTCTTTATTTCTTGGTTCCTTTTTGTTGGCAACTATTGATAAATATAGTTAGTCATTTGTTTGTACAAATAAAAAAAAATGCAAACTCTTCCTTCTTGTGTAGTTCTTGCAGTTCTTTAAAAGTATTTTACTTACAACATCTGAAAATCTGTCACTACCAACCTGGCTTGACTTTGCAAATCATGAGAGAATTAGTGTTTTTAGTATGTTTTAGATGTAAGCAATGTTGTTGATCATCTATGAGGAATAATACAGTGTCGTATAAGATTGATATCAATGACATTATTTTGATGAATTAGTTGAATTCTTTTCTTTTTGGTAATTTACTCTGATAACATTTTTGGCAAAAAAGGAAGCCAGAAACAGAACCTCTTTTCAATTAGTGGTAAGAAGAGAATAGATCTACTAATGTTGATTATGAACTCTTATCTCAGAGTAGACAATGCTTGCATAAATGAAACATTGTATGTTTTGTTGGTGTAATTTATTTTTCAGTCTGGCTCATTGGCTAACAAGTGAAGCTAGTTTTTCTTCTTTTAAAAGTACATCAAGCAGTCATCATCACTAAAGAAATTGGTTGTGAACTCTCAATAATTGATGTTGGTATAAAGCCAATATACATCCTATGTGCATTTTCAAATGAAAAATGATTTTTCCATTCTTGTAAACAAGGATGTATGAGGTCTCATAGCATTTGAATTTCAACTAAGGCTGTACATGTTTTCACTTGAGTAAGACCCTTCAGTAACGCATGAATCCATTTGTCCCATTGACTAAGGTCTGATCTTTGGAGCTTATGGCCATATCACATTAAAACACCAGTTCACATACGATCACTAAAGTTAAGCAATGTTGAGCCTGGTCAGTACCCAAATTGGTAACTGCTTGGAGATATCAGGTGCTGCAAACTTGGATATATGGGTGGTGTAATGTATAATGACTTGGAATTTTTAATCAGAGAGCCAAGTTCTAATTTTTGTTGAGTTCGATATGTTGACTTATGCACAAATACCTTTTCCTCTTCAGCTATGGGTTAATTAGTAAAACTTGTATCACTAAACCATTATTATTTAAAAAAAAAAATTTCTCACAGTCTAAAAATATTTTCTGACTTTAAATAACCTGCAAAATCGAATCAACCAAATCATCTTTGCTATGCAACAATGAATGATAAGAGTTTATTACAGATTTTAGCTTGCTACCAGTAGCATGTTTCAGAGTATTGTTTTTTTCAGTGTAATATCCCTTCATGAATTGAGGATCAAGGCTATCCACATATTCTATTTTTTATCTGTGAAATGTCATGAAACCTTGTGAAAAGATAATGTAGTGGTTTCCCATTGTCTTCTCCAACATTTTGAATTTAGAGTAGTCCTGGTTACTACACAAATCAAGAGACTCCAGTTGACTGTGCTATTTAATCTCTAGCTGAAGAAATAAGCAATGGATTCATATCTTTCCCAATGGTATTAATGTGAAAGTGAATGCAACAGATTTGTTGTGAGTTTGAACTCATTTCTGTTTCACTTTTCATGTTGATAGTTGTTAAACTACTTGTGCATCCATTACACAGTAATACTCTTCTCACAATATAAGAGATTCTCATTTGCCATTAAGGAAAGGCATGAACCTGTTTCTCCTTTTACTTTGTTTTACCGGCCAAGTTATTTGGAAAGATGGGCATTGAGTCAATGACAAAAAGTCATGGACTGAACTTTGGTTTATTTTTGCTCAGTTAGTTTTGTTATTATTATTGTCTATAGTTTTGCTGTAACGTAGCTTCTCGGTGTATTTTCTATAAATATTTTCAAGGAAACTGTTCTGATGAGCTTTCCTCATTGGTAGCTTTACATTACAAATTTAAGTACAGTACTAGATTGGCAACTAGGTCACATAATTTTACAGTTGAAATGTTGATGTAACAAAATTTCATGCTAACAATTTATTTTCTCGAACTTCTCACTTGTGGAACTTTCTTCAGACTTCTTGCTTTTCAGTCAGCCTTTGATCTTTAAAAATTTCACTGCAATGTCAATAGTTATTTTCTTAATTCTTGTCTACTGCTAGGACAGTTAGTTCTGTGTTGTGTTAGACAATTTTTCTTGTCCAAATCTATCTTACATATTTAAATCTACCATTTGTCCATGCATTGAATATTGCTACCACATTTTGTCTGGTGGTTCTATCATGCATATAGAGATTCTTGATAAAATACAAAGAAGAATTTGCAATGTTATTGGTCCTGACCTGGCACTTCAGCTTCAGTCACTTTCTCACTGCTTTAATGTAGCTTTCCTGTGCATTTTCTATAAATATTTTCGTGGTAATTGGTCTGATAAACTTTCCTCTATGCTACCTAGACTTTATGAATTTAAGCACAGTACTAGATTGTTGGCAATAATTTTACAGTTGAAATGGGTAGATGTAACTAAATTTTATGCTAACAGTTTTTTTCTCTTGTACTTCTCACTTGTAGAACTCTCTTTCGACTTTGAGCTTTCCAGTGAACTTTGATCTTCAAAAATTTAAATTGAATGTCAGTCATTATCTTTTTAGTTCCTAGTTCGTTTATTGTATCCTAGTGGCTTTATTGCCATGATTGGAGTGAAATGACAAAAGAATATTATGTTAATGAATTGGGGTTACATTTGTTTGTGTTGACTATTTGTCATTGCTGACAATAGTCTTAGGTCCTGCAATTATATCTATGATCAGATGTGATACCAATATCTGCAGCTTTTATGTTTCTAGCCTTGTTATACCTTCAGGAGGTACAAGTTAATTTGCTGTAACCAATTTATACTGAACTTGAGATGCTTTAGATGTTGAACCTGTTTAATTTCATAGTAGTCATGGTACTCTGAGTGATCACCATTCACTTATGTGTAAATACCCTTGGGAAAGGTTGGAATCCATTTCCTCCATTCAGCACTGAGTTAAATAGTAAGAATTGTATCTGGAAATGTCATTGTTATTCTCAATAAATTGTTAATGCAATAAAAAAAGAATTATTCTTACAATCTAAAATATGTTTTGACTTTAAATAATCCAGAAAGGGTTGATAAACTGTTAAAAACAAATCAGTCAATCAATTGAGCAGTCATCCTTTGGTATATTGGAATTATACTGGTTATCAAACTGGTTATTTTAGTCAATCAAGTATGAAAGTTATGTTAACATTTTCATCTGAACTTCATTTTAAATTAGATTACAAGTACTGTCCTCCCCACTAAAAAAATGATGACCATTTTTAAGTAATTTTACATTTGTGTTTTTCTTATATTCAAATCTTTGTTGCTCTGCATATTTTTCTTATATTCAGCATTTCTTGAATATTAAACTAACTGTAAAATCATGATAACTATTCATCCTCTGCCTTGTTCCATTACTATGAATGAAAACAATTCTTAATAAATACATGTTTAAATATGTTTTATTCATCTGTAGAGCCATTTGCAATCAGCATGGCTGATGTTAGACTCCTGGAGAGCAACACACTGCACCTTCTTGACTTGAAGTGGAGCAATTATATTGAATCAATAACTGCATCTACTGCAAAGAAAGTTGGGTCATTGTGTTGTGTCAGAAAACTTTTCTTGTCAGAATTCATCTTGCACATTTACAAATCTATCATTCATCTATACATTGAAAACTGCTGCCACATCTTGCCTGGTGTTCATGCTGTTCATCTTGAGGTTCTTAACAAAATCCAAAGAAGAATTTGCAATGTAATCAATCCTGACTTGGCATCTTGACTTCAGTCACTTTCTCATTGGCGTAACATGGCTTCCGTGTTTTTTCTACAAATATTTTCATGCAACTACTCTGACAAGCTTTTTTCACTGGTACATAGGCTATATGAATTTGAGCCTCTTACTAGATTGGCATCTAGATTGCACCTGTTTACTGTTGAAATAGCTAAATGCAACTGTCACTTCTACTCCAACTGTTTTTTTTCTCAGACTTCCTGCCTGTGGAACTCCCTTCCATTTACTTGCTTCTCTGATAACTACAATCTTCAAAAATTTAAATGCAACATAACTAGCCATCTTCTATTTTCTTGAATCCTGTTCATCTTTTCTCCTTTCCTCAATCTTCTCTATACTCAGTCTTTTCTCTCACTTTCACTTTCAGTAACTAGTGGCATTCCCACCTTGCTTGGGGTGAAATAATGAAAAAGAAAAAGAGGTCCTTTAACAAAATATTTCCAGTATACTCATGTTCTGATATTTCTTGTACATAACCAGAAGAGTCCATGGAAAAATGTTACACAAAAATATATATAGATACATATTGCATTTCCATGTATGTGAATTTCCACAGTTTAAAGCCAAAGAATGATACAAAAATAAGTAGTAATGAAAATGCACCATCTCAGTCTAAAAGGAAATTAAAGGTTATTACTATTACTATGGCATTGTGGATGCCAGCACAAAGAATGGCATCAATGAAACAAGTTCAAACTCTGGCTGGAGCGGCTTTTGTTCCCTTTGCACAAATGCACTTTGAAAAGGCATGTCTTGATTTCTCCATCTGTGACATTGTATCTCTAGGAGTGAAGTTGTAGATTGGAAAATATTTAATCACTTATAAAGTCATGCATTTAAACTCTGTCAAGGCTGGAAGAGCACTTTCTCATAATGGAATTGGTAGCTTTAAGACAATGTCTTCATTTTTCATATATTATGTAAATTTAAAAGACCAGGATGAAAATTCTGAGAAAAAAAAGTTGTAGCTGAAAAATTTATTTTAAGATATTAAAGAAATGGTAATAAACAGAAACAAAAAAAAGATTGTAATGTTACTTGTAATTCATTCCTCTTTAACCCCACTCCCCTGAATGAATTGAGTTTGTGTTAATTTTGATAAAATCTTGACAAGTTGTGATTGATTAAGAATTTTATCGGCAGTATTAACAAATCTTGTTTAGAGATTCTGAGATGAAGTGTTTATTTTATTTTTATTTTATTCTTATTCTACCTCTTTTTTATTGCAACTTTTGAGTAATTATTTTGAGGAAGGAACTATTCATAACAAACCAAAAAAAAAGTGTGTAATAATGAAAATGCTCCATCTCAAAACCATAAAAACAATGTCATAGTTTTGATAGGGTAAAATCTAAAACCCTAAAGCTTAGAAAAATATTGTCTGACCTGTTAGATATCATTTTCCACTAATGGGATGATCAGGATATGGTGTGACAAGTCTTTGTATTGTTTTAAGAACACGGATCTGTCCACCTGATTCAGAAGAACAATATTTGAATGCTGCTGGGTATCTGAATATTATCATGCAGCTGTTCATTGTTGCTGTGTAGTCATGTGTGAATGAGTTCATTCATTGGAATAATGCTTCTGTTACAGGACCTGGGTTTTAGCTTGTCAAGGAATGAATTCCACCAGCCATCTTGGCTATCTAATCACCAGATCCATCCAAACATCTGTAGAACAAGCTATTAGAAATAACCTCCGGAAGTAATGAACTTGACATGAGTTAGCATCCCTGTAACGCATTTTTGACACTTTTTCGAGTCCATATCTTAATGAATTCTATTTGTTCTGAAGGCAGAGAAAGAGTAGACCTTTATTAGAAAAGTGGACTTCATAAAGCGAGTTCTCAATATATTTGTTCGATCAAGTCAAAATGGATTTATCTCATTAGTTTCACACAAGGCTTGCATTCTCTTATTAAGATACAAAGTTGCTAATATTCTAGACAAGTGTAAGAGAAAATTGCTTATTCAGTTCTAAATAGCTTAGTTGGAAGTGAATTAGAATGAAGATCTAAAGGTTCCTGGTTCTGTCATGTTTTTGGTATTAGTATAAAGTCCTGTTTAATTTGAATGCTACAAAAATAATGACATAATCAAGATGCTGACTTTCTACACTACCTCAACCAAAAAGTTAG